CCACTAATTTACTTGAGATAATTACAATTCAAAGGTTAGGGGTGGGAACCCCAGTCATAGGTACTTTTAAATTGGTATTTCATTTGACTAGTTTCATTTTATACATTAATTAAAATCAATATCACAACTAAATAGATTGAACATTGTTCACGAGGCAAATACACAGGAAGAAATGAGTAGTCACTTGCTTTGATACACAGTTTTTTTCATATTAGTACATCAGGTAGCACTCTAATTAATTCACTTCCTTACAAAGTCATTTCCGAGTTTTTTGGGAATACCTCGTCCACCATGTCTTAATTTTTGATTGAATGGGCTATTCTTATTAATATTTATGACCTCCTTAGGTGTTGAAGTGCTTGGTTCTGTCTCAAATCCCAAAAAATCTTCTTCATCTGTACTTTCTGTCTCCTCATTTGTGACTTTTTCTTTTGGCACATTAGGTTCAATTACAGTGATTTCACTAGAGTCATCTGATGTGACAGAGTTAAGGGAATTTTCAGTTGGATTTTTAATCGGAGGAGCCAGATTGAAAGTTTGAATTGGAGCAACCTGATTAGCAGCATTTATGTTATGTTCATTATCAGTGTTCCCTTGTGGTAAATAAAACAAGTAGGGGTTAACATCTTTTTCTGTCCTAGAATTACAATAATTTTTCCTTAGAAATTTTGAGTTTCGTACAATGGTTCCCCCGTCTTCCTTAGATACTAGATATGATCTTGGAGCTTCCAACTTTTTAATTATTCTCTCTGGATACCAGCGGTCATCTTGTTCTCTAATGAAGATCTTTTCATTCTCTAAACTCTTGTTTAGGTTTACTACTTTGGTTATAGTGACTCTCTGTTTTTCTCTGATGTTCCCTCATTTTTTATGAGACATTGATGATCTGAGGGACCAAAACTTTTTGAGACACTGGTACATTTGTTCGGAGGACTCGATTCATTAGCAGTTGAGCAGGAGATGCTCCAAGAGCTGGGATAGGAGAATTGTTATATTCCAAAATAGCAAGATCCAAGTCGCCTTTGCTTTCTGTGACTTTTCTTAGCAGCATTTTGGCTCTTTTCACCCCGTTTTCTGCCATGCCATTGGATTGTGGGTATTTAGGACTCGATGTTTGGATTTTGAAATTGAACTGTTTAGCGAATTGACTTAACTCAAAAGAACCAAATGGCTGGTTATCTGCAATGACAAGCGCTGGAATACCGTGAATTTTGAAAATCTCTTTAAAAAGTCTGATTACTTCTAAAGACGTTTTATTTCTCATGGGTCTCACCTCAAGCCATTTCGAGTAGTAATCAGTTAGAATTAAGAAAGATTTTCCTGCAAACTCTGCTATATCAGATCCTACCTTGTGAAACGGCAAGTTAGGAATGGTGTGAGAAATCAAAGGCTCCTTGACATTTTTTGGTAGACACGCTTTTATATAATTTTCTATGTCTTTGATATAAGTAGGCCAGTAGACAATTAATTTAGCCTTTTCTATTGTTTTGCTGATCCCTAAATGCGAGTTTCCGTGCAGTAATTTTAGGTAAACTGTTTTTAATTCAGTTGGAATGATTAATCGGTTTTTAAAATATATAATATCGTTATTCATTGCAATTTCATGCCTGATCTTATAGAAAGGTTTAAGGGCCTCATCGTTACAACTGTTCCAGTCTTGTAAATGCATTTGCTTCACACGTTCTAACATTGGGTCACTACATGTAGCTTTTTGCAGTTCTAGGAATTTTGGGGTTGATAATTCAAAGTTGGTCTCAATACAATGAACCACCTCATTTAATGGGATAAAATCCTCTGGCTTACCATTTAAAAAGTTTCTTGAGAGCAGATCGGCTAGATACATATTTTTTCCTGGAACATATTTTACTTCTAGGTCATACGGTAGCAGTTTGAGTAGTAGTCTCTGTAGGCGATTTGACATAATTTGAGAAATATTTTTCTGAAAACTAGGCTCTAAGGGTTTATGATCATTTTCAACATAAATTTTATAACCATATACAATGTTATGAAAGCGTTTGGTTCCAAATACAATACTGAGAAGTTCTTTTTCGATCTGTGCGTAGCGACATTCCGCATCAGATAAGTTACGAGACGCAAAAGCTATAGGTCTTTTTTCTTGCAAGAGACAAGCTCCCAGACCAAATTGAGACGCGTCACATTGCAGAGTTATCTTTTTCGCTGGGTTAAAATTAGCTAGACTGCTTATTGCACAAACTGCCTCTTTTATTTTATTGAAGTTCTCAGTATGTATCTGTTGCCATGTGAACACTGAATTCTTTTTAAGCAATCCTCGAAAAGGCTGAATCAGGTCCGCAAGATGAGGAATATATTCACGGACATAATTCACACTCCCCAAAAAACTTTGTAATTCCTTACGATTATTTGGATTTTTTAATTGCAAAATGGCCTCCAAGTATTCTGGATTTGGGCTAATTCCTTCCTGATTGAGAACGTGCCCCATGTAATTAATAGATGTCTTTTTAAATTGAAATTTAGATTTATTAAACTTAATATTCAGTTCTTCTGCTCTTCGCATTACCTCTGCAAAAGCTCAGCCATGCTCTTCTTCAGTTTCATCACAAATTAGTATATCGTCAAAATAGATGATTACATTCGGAATATCACCGAAGTATTTGGTCAATACTTTTTGAAAAATTTCTGGGGCACAAATTATTCCAAACGGTGGTCTCAAAAATTTGAAACTTCCAAACGGTGTGTGAAACCCAACGTACTTTGTTGATTCTGGAGACAATTTACAATGCCAAAATCCATCCTTAATATCTAGAACAGCTTTTTGTTTGTGAGTTTAAGTTTAATTTCTTCAAAGGATGGTATGAGAAAAAGTTCTCTTTTAATATGTTTATTCAATCGATTAGGATCTAAGCACACCCTGATGGATCCATCATCTTTTTCCACAACGACTAGGTTACTGAACCATATTACATTCTTGACATCATTTGAGATTATGTTCAAAGATTGTAATGCATTTAATTTATCTCGCAGGGGAGTTCTAATTTTATGTGGCAATCTTCTCGGTGGATCATTTGATGGGATTGCATTAGGTGAAAAAAATAAGTCAACTACGTCTGGAAATTCTCCAACGCCGGAAAACTGTTTGGGAAATTTTGCAAGAACTGCAGCCTCATCAGTGAAGGCAGACACATAATCTATTTGTTTTTTAAAAATTAGGCCAAGTTGTACTGATGTTTGTAGGCTTAACAGAGGGGTAGAGCCTGTTTTGGTTACAGTGAACTTAATTGTATAAGGAACACTCGTATTGGGTAATTGACATTTTAAGGTTACGTTACCAAAAGTTTCGATAGGAGCTCCGCCATATCCCAGAACCCTTGTTGTATTGGGAACTAAATCATCACTTAAAGTCTTAACTTTTTGATAAAGATGCCACGGTAAAATATTTATTTCGGCACCGGTGTCGATTTTGAAATCAATGAAAGAATTATTAACCAGCAATTGTTGCATCCAGAACTCATTTGTCTCAGCGGAAGAAACTACATTTACATTTACATGATTTGATTGATTGGCATGATGCGTTTGATAGCTTGCTTTTTGATTGCGACCCGCACTCGCTTCACTTTCAGAGCTTTTACCGCTCTTGCTCAGATTATAATCAGTAATAGGGGGATTTGAAAAGGACTTTGGAAAATTATGTGGAATGCAACTAATTTCTGAGATATAAACATAATCTGAAGCTTCGACTTCATCAAGGTGCACTGAAGGTGCTGAATTTTCAGGACAAATCACTTCGTTAATACGGCACATTTTTTCAAAAGGATTTCGACCCAAGCATTTTTTACACTGCTGCCGATAAGCAGGACACTGTCGCACAGGATGTTGTAGACCGCAGGAACGACAATCAATGATTCTTGACGGCTGCTGTTGATTGGGCGAGTTGTACCTGCTTTGATGGTTGTATCCTTGTCCGAAGTTGTTGTTTCGTCCTTGTCCAGAGTTGTTGTTTCGAGCTCGTCCAGCGAAGTTGTTGCCTTGATTTGAGGGGTTGCCTTGAAATCTTCCACTATTGACTAGATCAACACTTGATGCTTTGGGTTGATTGACTTCATTCGACCTTTTCTTTCCTGCTTCGACGGAGAGGCACAAGGAAACTACTTTCTCTAGCGGCAGTTCCTCGCCGAGGAGACGTTCTCTCAGTTGAACATTATGGATGCCTATGATGATTCGGTCTCTGATAAGTGAATCTCTCAGCTTTTCGAATCCACAATCTTCGGCTAATTTTCTAATTGCCATATAAAATTGATCGAATGATTCCCCTTCTTGTTGATCTCTCGTATTGAACAAGTATCTACGGTAAGCTATGTTTAGTTTAGGCTTGGCAAATTCAGTTAGAACTTTTAGAAGACCATCCACTGTTTTCTTTTGAGCGTCAGTAATGATGAGGGTGTTAAGAATTTCTTCTGCGTCAGTGCCTAATATATTCAGAAAGATAGCGACTTGGACTTTCTCATCTTTCTTGTCTAATTCGTAGCCTATACTGTAATTGGACCACTGTTTTTTGAAACGTTTTAGGTTTTCATGGACGTTTCCACTGAGAGAAAGGGGATCGGGAGTTCGCAATTCCATTGTTTTAATTGCGAGTATGAGAGATTCTTGAATGCAATAATTGCTTAGCCTATAATAATGATAGGTGCCTCATCTGGCACTGTTATCAGTCATAACCTTGAAGCGCATGGAGACTAAGACATTATAAAAATTAAAAACAATTCGAACTAAATCGATAGGATAAAATTCACTGAAATCACTGTAGCTGTGGATTCTGCTTGAGCGTCATGTCGGGGGATGAGTTAAAACAATCTATTTACCCATTTTCTTCTGATGATCTGCGGCAGTGAGCATGGTGGCCTAACAGGTGCATGGCCAGTCCCCAGTTCTTAGCTGATCAGGTGAATTCGCTGATTTCCGTCACGTTATCCTCGTCGCCATGATGTGGATCGGTAGCCGAAATAAATGAGACGCTGATGATCACTCAAAGATGTTTATTATAGCGAGATCACGACTTGAACAGGAAGGGCCTGGCTCTGGCTAGTGGCCTGTCTGTCTGTGGGTGCCCCGTTGCCAGGTCGGGCACACACCCTACTGAGTAAGGCTATGATGCCACATAGCCTTACTGCACCATGGAGGAGGATTTCTCACTCAAAGAGGATGTAGCAGAATTCGACGATTCAGAGGCCGTACAAATTGATTTTAAAGACGTCGATGATAACCCTGTTTCGGGGACATACTCCTCCCTAGCAACTCCAATATTAAAAATTTCTGCGTCCCTGCCAGCTTTGGAACCCAAAGCTCAAGCTTGGAGAGCCCAAGCCAAAATTCCGAGTTTTTAATCATTTTATTCAGCTTCCAACATGCTGAGAAGAGTGCCAGGTTCAATTATTCTGATAACTTCAAGCGTGCGTAGCTGATCATGTGTTGAATTTTTTTGTAAAGATCGGATATGCTACTCCCATGAAGGAAATATATCCAAATTTGATTTGACTAAAACATAACATTCTTAATAATAATGCTGAAATGATGGTTAGGCGACTTCAACTCTTTTCCCCCCGGGATCGAAAAAAATTAGACCCTGAAAGGAAAGTGCCCCATCATAATTTTGCGAGACCTGCGGGAATAGGGACAGAGCAGGGATCTAGAAAGGGATGCCATACTGGGTGAATTGAAACCTCTAACTGTAATGTTCACAGCGAGATGCGATTCCTCAAAGCTAAAATAATACGTCATGAAACCATATTAAGTACAATCCTTATAATATGACAGAACCGTGATCCAGCGTTGACGCCGATTTCGGCCGTTGGTGTCTTCGACTTCAAGCGCTCCTAACTTCTGTAAAAACAGTCATTAGTCCAAAAATTGAGAGTCTTTCTTGTAGCATTTTTCGCTGACTTCACTTTTCCACGACCATTTTCGCCGAAATTTCTCCCAGAAAAAAAGGTGTTGAGGAAAAACGACAAAAATGACAATTTTTTCAAATTTCCCGCGGTTTTCAGCGCGCTCTGGTGGACGGTACACGCATTGCATCAAACGATGATGCATGTTTCAAAATCAAAATTTAACGTACTTTCGCTTTGCAGAACTTTCTTTGTCGTCCGACGCACAGGGAACGAGTTATTACCGATTCTTGGACAAAAATGAAATTTGGCGACGTCTGTTCAAGATGGCGGCTTTAGCGGCAAAAATCGAAGGTAGCAAAGTTCAGATTCGAACTTAGCGCTAAAAAACACATAGGATACATATGCTAGAGATTTTTTTCCACAATGTGGAAGGTAAACCCCTATTTTGGGATAGGTTGGCTATGGACTATTGTGCATTCACATGAGGCAGAAAAGGTCGATTTTAGCAACTTTCGGGCGGTCTGGCAACCCTTTCCCAGCGGAGTTCGACGGTCTGGCAAGGTAATATCTAATCAGGGAAGTCACCCCTACAATATGAGACTAAAACCAACTATAATACTTTCCAGTTGAATTTTACGCAATTTTTCGGAAAGGGGTGGGTGCAAAATCGACAAAAATTCCCCCCTCATGGATGTTGACCAATTTTCAGTATGTCATTCCTCACTATAGGATACGCCTTTTCCCATTTCAAGGCCTGAAATGAATTCCTTTCCGCGTAGCAGCGCAGCGTTGCCAAGTTGAAAACTGTCGAGTTCCATGCCTTTTGAACGAAAAGAGGTATTGAGAAGCGGTTTGCGTTAAAATTCTTCAAAAATTGCGTTCTTTTGAAATATGTACTCAATTTGATCGTTTAGGTAATTTCAGATTGCAATGATGCCATTTTTCACACTTCCTTAAGGGTAAATTTTTTTTCAACCCTAGTATATCGTCAAATGCCGGATTCTCGATTTGAAAAAAAACCTGTTCATTGTATTATTTGTACTTTTCTATTTCTTTTGATATATTAAAGCTCCCAGGGAAACGATTGGTAAGGGAGATATGAGCAATTTAAGTTTACGCTCCGCGCGCGCCGACTGGAATCCGGGCGCCGCTCGCCGCTCTGAGTCGTCTGTACACTCCCTTCCTTGAGCTTCACGAGGTCATTCCTATGTATTTTTTTGCGTAGTTTCCATTTCTGGCCTTTGAAAAGGGCTCCGATAAATTTTTAGGGGCCTTGCGGTCCATTGTTGCCATTCTTTGCTCGTATTTAGGGGGTTTTCCCTATTTTACCTATCCAGATAGCCGCATTATTATTACAAGTGAATGAAACCTCGTGTGATAACCGAGTCAGTACGGGATCACCATTCCCGTAAAAGTCGTGCCTTATCGCCGATGAGCCTGGGAACTTTATCCGAGCTTCACGTGGACGGAAGCCGAGTCTAGCCGGGCGACTCGGGAGCTTCAGCCGGGCTCGTCGAGGACAAACTCCAAAAAGACAGCAAATTGTGAAGTAAGAAGTGCATTTCAGACTTTGCCGATGCGCTCATCGTGATTTTTTAGTCACTTGCTATGAGTAGTAACTCTTATTTTCGCTCCCGCAAAAGTTTGCAACAGGCCTTTTGTGAAAATTTCGGTGTTCGCCGCGATTTTGGGATAAATAACGCGAACTTTTTAATGATTTTAAGAAACTGCTAGAAGAATCGCGCATTTGCAACTGTGTGAACGGCAACTAATGTAATGTACATGTGTTGAGGTTGTCTACATCTCAGGATATTTCAATGATGTTTAATGGTTTATTGTCACACTATCACAATACTCCATCACAGTGGCGTAACGGGCGCCCCCGCAGACCCTGCTATGCAGGAGGGCCCATGCAGGCGGCGCCTAGGGGGCCGGGGCCCTCGGCCGCCCGAATTTTTTCTCTCTTTCTCTTTGATGCTCAGCTGTGGTTTCAAACTTTGGGCCTTTACTTGCCGAGATGGGGCTTCTTCCTCTGATTTTTATTGTTATAGCTCGGGGTTTTTCATACTTCTCTTGGGCTGTTCCTAACTTTTTGTTTGCTGGAGGGCCCCTGCCTTCCCATGTCCACTCAATGATTCCTAAATAATTTTCTCTTCTTTTGTCACTTTTCGTATTCCGGATTTTGGGAGGCCCAAGGAATCTAAAAGCTTTGGGGGCCCTTTGATTCTTGGGCCTGGGCTGAGCCTCCGACTTCCTTTAGATCCTTGATCCTTTAGAAGCTCCATTTAATCGGGTACTTTTACGTTTTTATTATTTTTTTTAAATTTATTTATTTGCGCAAACATGCAAGTGAATCAAATTCCACCTCAGAACATAATGTAAAAGTAGGCTAAATCCTTCACATACAATCATTAATATAAACTTCGAAGGATTCTGCCTTTTTCTATTTCACTCGAGGGGAAGTGTCCCCTCCCAGACTCTCTTCCCCACCCGGTGACTGACGCTGCGCTGCGCTGAACGGTTCAGCCTGAACCTTTCCCCTACGTCTGACCGTTCCCCACTCCTCTGTCAATCGAACCATATGCCACCGCTTACGTATTGTCGCTCGCCCACCCAGGTACTTAGCGGCCAGCGGTCAGTTGATGATAAATCTCGCTCATGCTCCTA